TAGCTAGGATTACAGACGTGAGCCACAGGTGCCCAGCTCAATCCAGCTTTTTACTGGCTAAGTTTTACTTTTCTTTTTTAAGATTTGTTTGCCTAGACTGGCTTCAAACGATGATCCTCTGGTACTCAGCCTCCTGAGTGGCTAGGATTACAGACATGAGCCACCAGTGCCTGGCTAGAAAATCTTTGTGTTCCAGCTTCCACTCCTTCCCCTAGCAGGAATTCTAGGCAAGCTCCTTACTATTGAGGTTGTGAAATCTCAAAAACATTTTGCCCAGGTTGGTCTAGAACTGTGATCCTCCCACTCTCAGTCTCCCAAGTAGTAAGGAGTACAGGGGTGAGCCACCACGGCCTAGCTTCTCTTGCTGCTGTGCTCTTTCAGCCTCTTCCAGATGTCCCCATGATTCTCCCAGCGACACCTTCCTCCCCTGCCTTCTCTTCGAGAGTTCTGCTCCTTTCTGTGAATGCTATGCCTGTCATGTGGATGCAGCAGTCAGGGATAGTTCTTGGCAGACCAATGATTGTACAGAATGTGATGCAGCTGGTGGCTGCAAGTCCCTGTTTTTCCTGGGTGTGGGGGACTCCATCCTACCCTGTGCTTCCAAGTGCAGTCTTCTTTTCCTTCCTCATCTTTCCTTGTTGACTGCCGCTGTTCCTGTGACTCTCATTTCTACCTTTGTGTCTACAATTCCCAACCTGCCTTGTCTTTTTCTTCTCTTTTCATTTTTTGTTGTTGTTGTTTTGTCGGTTGTGGGGCTGAACTCTGGGCCTGGGCGCTGTCCCTCAGCTCTTCAGCTCAAGGCTAGCACTCTACTACTTGAGCCACAGTGCCACTTCCAGTTTTCTGGTGGTTATTTGGAGATCAGATCTCAGCTGAGATCTGAGTAGCTAGAATGACAAGTGTGAGCCACCGGTGCCTGGCTCATTTCGTTTTGTTTTTTGGTGCCAGTATTGGGGCTTAAACTCATGGCCTGAGTTTTGTGCTCAAGGCTAGCACTCTACTACAGCCACAGTTCTAGTAGTTTTTTTGTTTGCTTTTGTTTTGTTTTTCGGTGGTTTATTGAGGATAAGAGTACCATAGACTTTTCTGCCAGGCTGGCTTCAAACTGTAATCCTCAGACCTCAGCCTCCTGAGTAGCTAGGATGACAAGTGTGAGCCATCAGTAGCTGGCTTCCCACTGTTCTTTAGATATTCTATGAGGGCTGGGAAGGTGGCTCAGTGGTAGAGCACTTGTCTTGCATGCCTGAGGCCCTGGGTTCAATTCCTCAGCACCACATAAGCAAAGAGAAAAAAGCCAGAAGTGGCACTGTGGCTGGTAGAGTGCTAGCCTTGAGGTGAAGATCTGAGGGACAGCGCCCAGGCCCAGAGATCAGGCCCAACAACCGGACTCCCCCCCCAAAAAAATTTATCTATTAACATCTTACACCCTTAGACTCTCAACTTTTCTAATGTTTAATTTTTATTTTTTAGAGTTTATTATTCATTATTATATCTTTAATATAACAATATAAATATAAACATTTTAATATAATAATTTTATAATATATTATAGCTATAAAACCCTATTATTGGGCCTGGGAAGGTAACTCAGTGGTAGAGTGCTTGCCTTGCATGCATGAGGCTCTGGGTTTGATTCCTCAGCACCACGTAAGCAGGAAAAAAGCCACAAGTGGCACTGTGGCTCAAGTGGTAGAGCACTAGCCTTGAGCTGAAGAGCTGAGGGATAACACTCAGGCCCAGAGTTCAAGCCCCATGACCGGCAAATAAATAAATAAATAAATAAAATAAAGAAAGAGCTAAGGGACGGTGTGAAGGCTCAGAGTTCAGCCCCCACAACTGACCAAATAAAAAATAAATACACTATTATTAACTTTTTCCCCTCAAGGCTAGTGCTTTAACCACTTGAGATGCAGCTCCATTTCTGGCTTTTTGATGGTTTATTGGAGATAAAGAGTACTACAGACTTTCCTGCCTGGTCTGGTTTTGTTTTTTGTTTTTTTTTTTTATGGATCATGAGTCTCAAACTCTGGGCACTGTCCCTGAGCTCTTTAGCTCAAGGCTAGCTAGCACTTTACCACTTGAGCCACAACACCACTTCCAGTTTTCTGTTATTCATTTAGAGATAAGAGTCCACAGATTTTCCTGCCCAGGCTGGCTTTGAACTGTGATCCTTAGATCTCAGTCTCCTGAGTAGCGAAGATTATAGACGTGAGCCACCAGTGCCTTCCTGCTAGTTGTTTTAGAGATGGAGTTCCTCAGACTTTTCTACCCATGCTGGCCTTGAACTGTAATCCTCTGGATCTCAATCTCTTAAGTAGCTAGAATTTCAAGCACGTGCCACAGATGCCTGCCTTTCCCACAGCCCTTAAAATATTATATATATAAGCTGGGCGCTGGTGACTCATGCCTATAATCCTAGCTACTCAGGAGGCTGAGATCTGAGGATTGCGGTTCAAAGCCAGCCTGGGCAGGAAAGTCTGTGAGATTCTTATCTCCAATAAACCACTAGAAAACTGGAAGTGGCACTGTAGCTCAAGTGCTAGAGTGCTCACCTTGAGCTGAAGAGCACAGGGGACAGCGCCCAATCCCAGAGTTCAAGCCCCACGACCCACCCAAAAATATATATATTATATACATATAATATTTATATACATATAATATTTTGTTGTTCTTACTAAGATGTTGCACAGAGGGGTTATCATTTCATAGGTCAGGTAATGAATACATTTCTTTTTGGAACAGTGTCATCCCTTTGTTTGCTTTTCTCCAATTTTCCCCTCTGTCCCTGCCCATCATCCTCCAACCCTTTTTTAAGCAGCAATTCCATACGTTTGACCTGGCTAGTCTTGAACTCATGAAGCTCTTTCCAAGTAGCTGGGGTTACAGGTTATACTTCTATGCTTTTCTGTTTTCTGAGTTTTGTGGGGTTTTTTCAGTGAGCCTGTACTGCTTTTTATAACACACACACACACACACACACACACACACACACACGAAGGGAATGGGGGAGAGGGACAGCCAAACACAGTAGACCTCATTCGCTGGTCCACCCTGCCCATGACCCTGTAGAGCCTGAGTGCCATCCCCACCCCTCCGCGGTAAATGGGACCAAAGAAAGAGATCTGAGACTGCGAGGACACACACGTGGCTCCAAAGCACAGTCCTGCTGTTTGGTGTCTGTACTGCCCTGACTCACCCCTGTAAAGCTGTCTATAAACTAGCTCAGCTCAGGAGGCAGAAAGGCCCAGTGAGTGTTGGAAAAAATAAAATAAAATTCCATGGCATATCCCGATTGTGACTATTATAACACTAGGAGCTCTGCCTGCCCTGTGCCACTTTTAGCTGTAGTATTCAATACGTGTCCAGAGAGTGCTGTGAAGGATACAGGGACTCCAGGCTAATGTGGGGTTCTTTCTGTTCCCTAGGAAGAACTGGCAGTAGGAATAAATCAGTACCCAAACACAGAGTATTCCTAATTAATGGGGACCCCGTGTGTCTCTAGAGCCTTCCACCCAAGCTATTAGGAAACCCTGTGCATTGATGCTGAAGGGAGAATGAGGAGATTTTTTTGGGGGGGTGTTTGTTTGTTTGTTTATGCTGATACTGAGGCTTGAACTCAGGGCTTGGGTACTGTCCCTTGGCTTTTTCTTCTCAAAGCTGACACTCTAACCACTTGAGCCACACCTCTACTGATTAATTGGCGATGAGCATCTCATGGACTTTCCAGCCCGAACGGCTTCAAACTGTGATCTTCAGCTCTGTACCCAGAGTAGCTAGGATTACAGGCAGGAGTCACAGGTGCTCTGGCTGGAGGAGATGTTTCTGGACACAAAGGGTCCCTCATCCACAGACAAAGCCAAGAGAAAACAAACCTAGATCTAAGATGGCAGTGGCAGGATCTGCAGTTCAGGACAGAGACCCCAGACTTGTCAATGTGGCCCTGGTGGTCTGTGTATCCCCATCACTCCCCCAGGAGCGGCCTGGTGTGGATCCTGCACCCCTCCTTTGCTTATGTAAAGATGAGAGAGAATTACTATGCTCTAGGAAAGCCTCCCAGGCCCCGGTGTGCCCGGCTTGTCTCGGTTCTCCCTGCAGATGTGGGCTGCACCTGGCGCCTTGATCGCCTCTTAAATCCCAAAGTCTGGCAGATCTGCACTGGGACTGGCTTGGTGTGTTTTTTGCTCATGGAATGACTTTTATTTTTTCTGTGCTCTGTTTCCTCCCCTGAGGAGTTGTGCTGGGGGGTGGGGTGGCAGGGGAGTGGGGGACTTGGTGCATGAAGGGAGAGTGGGGGCTGGCCAGGCACTGACAGGAGACTGGGGATCCTGTCCTGGGCACTCTGCAGGGCTCTGCAGTTGTTGTGTCCTTGACGCAAGGACGCCTAGAACTTTGCTGAATCTTTTGCATAAAAGAGCTGCCTGGCTATTGGAGGAGGGAGGGAGGCAGAGAGAGAGAGAGAAGAGAAGAGAAAGAGTACTTAGTTTGGAATCACTGTCTTATAGAGTATTAGAGGAAAGGTGACATCAATCAAGACACTTTATACTTTTAAATGGGTTTGTTGAGGGGTAACACCTTTGTACAACTACTTAAAGTTAAAAATATATATAATTTTAAAAATGACTGATAAAGGAACATCCTCCCTCCCTCTAAATAATTATTTATTTACTAAACACTTCTTGAAGCTGGCACAAGCCAGATTATAAGGGGTGCTATTCCAAGGAGCTCTCAGATTGTGAGAGTGATGGGTATGAAAACAGATCAGTTTGAGAGAGAGAAAGAAAGAGAAGGAGAGAGAGAGAAGGAGAGAGAGAGAGCAAGCGCACGCTAGAGAGATATGGAAGGGGTGGGGTGGGCTCTGTCCAAGGCTGTTGGCGTACAAGAGAAGGTCAGAGGCCAAACCACCCCCTGGTGGGGTTCTGGGGTGCTCCCCGGGGGAGCTCGCATGCACCTTCACGGCTGCTGTGGGAGGGACCCGGCCGGCCTGCCGCCAGTGTCATTGGAGCAGTCCTGTCTCTAGGTGACTGCACAGAAGCCTGGCTGTGGAAGCGACATGGTTCAGTCTGGGAAAGGCAAGGGGTGGCAGTCATTGCCCAAGGTGAGTGAGTCCCCTGTGTCCTTGCTTTGGGGGGCAGGTGTGTGATGGGGACGCTGTGGGCCCAAAGGGCTACTATTAACATCCTGGGCTGGGTGTCCTTGAGTGCTGGATATTGGGAATGGCAGTGACGGTGGACCCACTTCTCCCTCAGCCCCTGAGGATCTTCGCTATCTGAGGATAAAGACTTACTGCTACTTTACCTTCACTGAAGGAGTCCTGTGTGCCTAGAGTGGATGGAGGGAAGTGGGGTGCTGACAAAGGAATGGTCTGTCCTGAGGGCATTCCTTTGTCTCCACTATGGACGGAGGAGGCAGGAGACCCAAGTTCTAGTCCTGTCTCTGCAGCTGCTGTGCTGTGACTTTGAACATGCCCTTGTCCTCTCTGAAGCTCAGCCTTCCTGTCTCCCTGCCTCTCTGTCTCTCCGTCTGGAGACCTTGAGATTCGGACTGTGCTGAGATGATTCCTGGACTTTTGGCTTGAGATAGGACCAAAGCTGGGACCCTGAGTAATAATGGCAGCAAGTAGTGATAATGGCGATAGAGGATGGCAGGCCATGTTGGGCAGGTATCTGCTGTGTGCCAGGCATGTTCCTGTGAGAAGGGGAAAGTCGGTGTTATTATTTTGGAGGAATGATTGAGGTACAGAGAGGGGTACACTATATGCCTAGGACACACAGTAAGGTTTAAAAAAAGGAAGGAAGGAAGGAAGCAAGCTGGAATTAACTTGCTCAATATGGACATATGCATGCATGTATTGTGCCTGTACTGGGGCTTGAATTCAGGGCCTAGAACTGTTGTTGGACTTTTTCCACTCAAGGCTGCCACTCACTCTACCGTATGAGTGTCACTCAACCCCACTTTCCACTTTGGCTGGTATTTTTCTGCCCGGGCTGGCTTTGAACTGCTATCCTCAGATCTCAGCCTCCTGTGTAGCTAGGATTAATGGCAGTTTTTGACACATCAGTGCCTGGCTTTATTTGTTTTTGAGGCCAAATCTTACCATGTATCCCATAAGCACTGGGATTATGGATAGGTACGATCAATGCCTGCCTTCAGAAATAGGGTTTAAACATAGGACTGTAGCCTCAAAGTTCTGTCTCTGGCTGAGTGCTGGTGGCTCACAGCTGTAATCCTAGCTACTCAGGAGGCTGAGATCCAGAAGACTGAGGTCCAAAATGAGCCCAGGGAAGAAAAATCTGTGAGTGGACTTCATTTCCAGTTAACCACTAGCAAGATGCTGGATTGAAAATCTTAACGCAAGTGGCAGAGCACCAACTGTGAGCAAGTGAGCTGAGCAAAAGTCCAAGGCGTCTTGAGTTCAAACCTTAGCACTGGCACCAAAAAAAAAGGAAGAAAAGAAGGAAAAGATAGAAAAAGAAAGGAAGAAAAGAAAGAAAGAAAGGTGCACTCGGAGGTTCTCACACTGGCTGAGGCTTGGAGGCTGGAGAGGGTGAGTGGTTGGGCGGGTGAGTGGAAGGGGGCTGTGGGGGCGGGGCCTGCCCTGGGCGGGGCCAGGTGACATCTGATTGGCAGATGACGTACTTGTCTGCCCCCTGCTGTAGCTCCTCCACCCGTGATTTCCACTGGAAATCCTTGGTGAGTGAGGGGAGCTGCGGAGGGCAGGATGGGCCCTTGGAGGAAGGTCAGCCACAGGAATCCTAATCCCTCCCCCATTTTACACTCAGAGAAACTGAGGCCCAGGACTCTACTCAGTCTTCTGGGCTGCAGCTCTACTTCTTGCTGGGTCTCTGGGACACCGGGGCTGGCTGACAGGGGCAGGGCCTGGGGCCGGGTTTGTGTGTGGCAGTTGCTCCCTGTCCATAGTCAGCAGCAGAGCCTCAGCTACCAGTTAGTTACCTCCTCTGACCTATATGTCCAGAGGCTCCTGAGGGGTTTACCTAGCATGCAGGACACACACACACACACACACACACACACACACACACACAACACACACACCTCCTAAATACTGTGTGTTGCTGGGCCAGGAGATTGTTGTTTGTATTTCTTTTTTTCTTTCTTTTTTTTTTGCCGATCGTAGGGCTTGAACTCTGGGCCTGGGCACTGTCCCTGAGCCTCTTTTTGAGTAGTTATGGGAGATAAGAGTCTCATGGACTTTCCTGCCTGAGCTGGCTTCAAACTGTCATCTTCATATTTCAGCCTCCTGAGTAGCTAGGACCAAGAGACTCTTATTTTCAATTAACCACCAAAAGAAGCCAGAAATGGAGCTATGGCTCAAATAGTAGAGCATTACCCCTGACTCAGGAACAGCACCCAGGTGCTGAGTTCAAGTCCCAGGGCTGGCATAAAAGTAAATAAAGCAACCATTATCAAAAAAATGTATGATTTAGAAAACTGGGGCTGGTGTAGGGCTCAGTGATAGAGTGCTTTCCTAGCATCCCCGAAACCCTGGGTTCTAGTCCTACCACTGCAAAAATAAACAAGTAATAAATAATAAAAATAAATTTAAAAAAATAGAAAACGGGGAGGCTGCAATGCATGGTAAGAAATGTACGCATTATCCTGCCCATGTAATTGTAACCCCTCTGTACAGTATGTTCACAAATAAAATTAAAAAAATAGAAAACGGCTAGCTAGGCAGAGGATAGTACTAGTGAAAAGCTGTTTTCCTAATAAAAAAAAATCTAAAATCCAAAATGTTCCAAAATCTGAAACTTCTTTTTTTCTCAGCCTTTCTATGTCTTTACCTACATATATATATGAGCTGGGGGGGAGTGATGCATATTGTTCTAGAACTTTTCTGTCTCTGTCTGCCCTATCTCTGTCTCTGTCTGTCTCTCTGTGTCTGTCTCTGTCTCTCTCTCTCTTTTCAGAGAAAGGAATTGAACCCAGGTCTTTGCACATGTTAGGCAAGCCAGTACATCATAGTGTGTTACCAGTTTGCTTTTTTCTTTCAGTGATAACAAGGTTTGAGCTCTGGATTTACCACTTGAGCCACACACCCTGATCTTTTACTTATTTTTCAAATAGAATTTTGACTTTATGCCACAGCCAGCCTGGCAAAAAAATGTGTTGCAAGATTATTTCCAAATCTCATACAGCTAGTAAAACCAACTCGGGCCACTGCACCTAGCTTTGTGGTAGTTGTTGTTCCAGTACTGGACTAGAATTCATGATCTTCTTTTCTTACTCATCATTTTTACTCATGGCTGGAGCTCTTCCACATGAACCACACTTCCACTTTCAGCTTTTTACTGCTTAATTGAGATAGGAGCCATGAAGATTTGTCTGTCCAGACTGTCTTTGAACCACATCCCTCCTATCTCAGCCTTCTTAGTAGGTAGGATTAAAGGTATGACCCACTGGTGCCCAGCTCACATCCATCTTTTTGCTCACATTTGCCTTTTTTTTAAAAAAAAAAAGGCAATGGCGTTAGAGACTGGAGATGTTGTTCAAAAGGTATTTAGTATATGGTCTTGAGATTAAACTCCAGTACTGTGAGAATAAAATAAAAACAAGACAGTGAATGCGTGTGTCCACTCTAACCAACTAAACTTTCTGAGAACTATCCCTCAACCTTCCCCCACCTCATTTCCCCTCCTCTGAGTTGTGTCCACTGTCTCCTCTGCATCTCTGTCCCTGTATCTGTCTGTGTGTTTGTCCATCTGTCTTCCAGACAGCCCTTTCTGGGCACTGAGGCTAGGCAGGTGCAACCTTGGGGAGTCTCTAGGTCCACGCCTAACTCATTCTGTGCTCTGTGCTGTACCCTCTAGGCGTCTGAGATGCCTCAGCCAAAGAAGAAACGCTGGGAATCCATGGCCAAGGGGCTGGTGCTAGGAGCCTTGTTCACCAGCTTCCTCCTGCTGCTCTACTCCTACATGGTCCCCCCACTGCATGCTAGCCAGGCTTCCATGTGAGTGGTGCGGGGGGGGGGGTAGGGTGGGAGGAGGGGGTTGCCATGATAGGGTTCACAACTACTTTTCAGATGATGGAAACTACCTCCTAGACAGCCACTCTATACCATGTTTGGCCAATAGACAGTTCCCTTCTTGGGGCAGGACTCTGTAATCTGGGCCTCAGTCTGCTCATTTGTGAAGTGGGTATAGATGCACACCATGCTGTCTGTGACCCAGGCTCAGAATATGATCATCAGAGACTGCTGCGCACGCGCAGGCCAAGCACTCAGCTGGCACCTAAGCCTAAATTCAAGTTGGGACGTGTGTGTGAACCTAGATCAATTCTCACCACTTGAGGATTGCAGTTCAAAGCCAGCCCAGTCAGAACAGGGGCCCTCAGTGCAGCCCTGTGCCCTTAGATAGTAGAGGAATTTAGTTTTCTAGTAGAGGAAATCAACCAACCATTTGGGGCCTAGAAAATTGCACTTCTAACCACTTCCACTTTATATACTAACTTCATTTATTTTTTAAATATAATTTTATTGTTGTTATTAAGGTGTTTTGCAGAGGGGTTCCCATTTCCCAATTCAGGTAATGCATAAATTTCTTTTTTTTTAATTAAAAATTTTTTGGCAATACCATAGTTTAAAACTCAAGGTAGTAAGCTTTTTCCAACAGATCACTTGAGTTAGCACATTGCTCTTTTTTGTTTGTTTTTACAAAGGCTCTCACATTTTTGCCCAAGTGGCCTTATGCAGATCCTCTATCTTTCACCCTCTGGGAGCTGGCATTACAGAGCTGCCACACCATGCCAAACACCTCACACGCCTCAAATGAATACTACCTGAATGTAAATATGCCTGTGGACGGGGAGAATTAATTGAAAGCTCAGCTGCCACAGCTCAGCTCAAACTCAACCCAATACCTGCACCTCCCCATCCCACAGATCAGGACACTGAGGCCCAAGAGGCCAAATCTCAGGCTCAGGCCTGAAATACAGCCAGAGAAGCCACTATACTAGCTTCCCTGCCAGCTAACAAATACGGCCTGGAGATTCAGAACCAGAGGGCGGGGTCTTCCGGGTCCCCAGAACAGCCTGGGCCAGGTTGACACAAAATCCCATCTGGCTGGGCACCTGTAATCTTAGGTACTCAGGAGGCTGAGATCTGAGGATCACCATTGGAAGCTAACCGGGCAGGAAAATCTGTGAGATTCTAAACTCCAATTATGCACCAAAAACAAAAGCTGGAAGTGGAGCTGTGGCTCCAAGGGTAGAGCAGCTAGACTTGAGGCGGGGAGGAAGGGGAGGAGCTTAGGGACAGGCCCTGAGTTCAAGCCCCAGTCTGTCTGTCTGTCTCTCTCTCACACACCAACACAGAGGGGAGGGCTGGGTACTCCAGGTCCCCAGCACAGCCTGGTCCGGGCTCACCTTCCCTCCCTCCCTCTGTCCTCCCCACAGGACCCCGGACACCACCGCGATCTCCTGTTCCCCAGCTCCTGCCGACCCCCCGGCGAAGGCAGCGGCCGGCAACGCGTCGGCAGCGGGGTGCGCGCCCCAGCACAACATCGTGTTCCTGAAGACGCACAAGACCGGCAGCAGCACCCTGCTCAACATCCTGTTCCGCTTCGGGGAGAAGCACGGGCTGCGCTTCGCCTTCCCCAAGGGGCGCAACGATTTCGGTTACCCGGGCTGGTTCGCGCGGGACCTGGTGCGGGGTTACAAGCCGGGGGCTTGCTTTAACATCATCGCCAACCACATGCGCTTCCAGTACGACGAGGTGCGCGCGCTGGTGCCGCCCGACGCCACCTTCATCACGGTGCTGCGCGACCCCGCGCGCCTCTTCGAGTCCTCCTTCCATTACTTCGGGGCGGTGGTGCCGCTCACCTGGACGCTGCCGGGCCCGGATAAGCTGACTTCCTTCCTGCGGGATCCCGATCGCTACTACGACCCCGCCGCCATCAACGCGCATTACCTGCGCAACCTGCTGGCCTTCGACCTGGGCCTGGACAGCGGGCTGGAGGCGGGCAGCGCGCGCGTGCCCGAGCTGCTGGCGCAGCTGGAGCGCCGCTTCCACCTGGTGCTGCTGCAGGAATACTTCGACGAGTCGCTGGTGCTGCTCAAGGACCTGCTGTGCTGGCGCCTGGAGGATGTGCTCTACTTCAAGCTCAACGCCCGCCGCCGATCGGCCGTGCCCCGGCTCTCGGGCTCCCTCTACCAGCGCGCCACGGCCTGGAACGGCCTCGACGCGCTCCTCTACCGCCATTTCAACCACAGCTTCTGGCGCCGCGTGGATGGCTTCGGGCGCCAGCGCATGGCCCGCGAGGTGGCCGCCCTGCGCCGCGCCAACGAGCGCCTGCGCCGCATCTGCATCGACGGAGGCCGCCCCGTCGACGCCACCGCCATCCAGGACGCCGCCATGCAACCCTGGCAGCCCCTGGGCGTCAAGTCCATCCTGGGCTACAACCTCAAGAAGACCATCGGCCGGCAGCACCGGCAGCTCTGCCGGCGCATGCTCACCCCCGAGCTCCAGTACCTGCAGGAGCTGGGGGCCGATCTCTGGATCACCAACTTGTGGAAACTGCTCCGGGACTTTCTACATTGGTGATGCCATTTCCCTCCCCCACCCCGCCTCCCAATCCCCTCCTCCAGTTCCTCCCCTCCCCTCACCCTCCCTCCCCCCCACCCCGGCCCTCTTGGTGCCACCCTGGATGGACCCCAGGGTGTTGGTGGGGCCTGGGGTGTACAGACAGGGCTGATATCACTACTTGACTAATGACACCATTGTTTAAAAAAACAAAAACAAAAACAAAAAAAAACCCTGGCCTTCTGTTTCTGGCTTTCCCTCCAAAGGGGAGGCTCAAATAAAGGAATTTCATGCTGTGTTTTTTTTTTTTTTCCTCTTTAGTGTCAGTATGGTGACTGCAGGGGCCCTGGCATGGGGGGGGGTCACCTGTCCACCCCCAGAAAACACCTGTGGGTTCCCCCTTTCCGGGAGTTGTTGGGGCAACTGGTGTTAGTTCAGGGTGACCTTCTGAGATCTGGAAAATCACTGGTGGTGGGGGAGAGCGCGTGCCCATGTGCACATGATGTTCATTCCACAGCTCACGCTTCCCTGCCTGGCACCAGGCTAAATGGTCTATGGGCAATAACTCAGCTCACCTTTACCCAAGCTCAGCCACTGGGGACTGAGGTGTGAAAGAAGCTGGGAGAGAGCAATTCACCAGGCCAGGCTTGCACAGCAGGGCAATTAAGTGATGGGTCCTGAACAGAGGCCTGATGCGCAGCCATGTAGGTGATCAGAATCCAGTCAGAGACAAATGACAGGGAAGGAGGAGAGGGATGGGGCCATTTGTGCCTCCCGTGGTGGCTAGCTCCTTACAATTGCTGTCCTGATTCCAAGCTCTTTCACTGAAGGCTAATACTCTCCCACTTTGAGCCACAACACCACTTCTGGTTTTCTGGTGGTTCATTGGAGATGAGAGTCTCTGGTGCTTTCCTGCCTGGGTTGGCTTTGAACTGCAATCCTGAGATCTCAGCTTCCTGAATCTAGTTGCAGGCATGAGACACCAGCACCTAGCTGATTCTTCTTTTTATACTTTATAGCTCATACTTGTACCACCATGCCCAGCTTTTATTTTCTTTAATAGTTAAGAAGAGGGGGGCCGGGGAGGTGGCTCAGTGGTAGAGTGTTTGCCTTGCATGCATGAGGCCCTGGGTTCGAGTCCCCAGCACCACATAAGCAAAAAGAAAAAAGCCGGAAGTGGCGCTGTGGCTCAAGTGGTAGAGCGCTAGCCTTGAGCTAAAAGAGCTGAGGGACAGCGCCCAGGCCCAGAGTTCATGCCCCACGACCGGACAATAAAAAAAAAAAAAGTTAAGAAGAGGGTCTTGAGATCTTTTTCCCAGGGTGGCCTCAAACTGTGATCCTTCTTAGCTTCATCTCCTGAGTAGCTTGGATTATAGGTATGAGCTACTGCACTCCTCCTCCTCTTTGTCCGTCTTTTCCTTCTCCTTGTCTTTCTTCTCCTTCTTGAGATAGAATCATCCTTTTTGCCTGGGCTAGCCTCCAACCTGAATCCTCCTCTCTCTTCCTCCCAAGTTGCTAAGATTAAAAGGTATGGATCCAATACTTCCATCCCTTAACTTTCAGTTGAATACCTTTTGATGCCCTCTGAGTCTTGCTCAGATATTATCAACTTCTAAAGATCTCTGGGGGGCGGGGGGGGGAAGCCCTTGTGTGGGAGCTGGGAGTGTGAGTTCTGCAGGTCACTGTGTGGGACAGGCAAGGTGACAGCACATCTGTTAATGGGGCGCTGTCACGAGGTTTGCAAAAGGCATCAATCTGAGCTCTTTCACTCAAGGCTAATCTCCCACTTTGAGCCACAACACCACTTCCGGTTTTCTGGTGGTTCATTGGAGATGAGAGCCTCCAGTGCTTTCCTGCCTGGGTTGGCTTTGAACTGCAAAGGTGGCTATGGTGATACTGATACTGGGAGCTGTTCAAGGCTATTTGAAGGGAACCCATTGCACTCTCCCACCCCCATGCCCTCCCCAGGGGGAACATATCTGAAGCTCCCCCTTGGCTGGTGGGTGGCTCTCTAGGTACTGGCTGGTAAGTTGTGGGCTGGTGTGTGTGTGTGAAGGGAGACAGAGCATTGTGGACACCTAAGCATTACCAAGAGAAGAGAGCAGGGTGCAGGCTACATGCCAACCCTTATCTTCAGGTAAGGGGCACCATCTTGCTTCTAGCCTTGGTTTCCAACCCCTCTGGGAATGCATCCATTTGATGGTTAAGACTAAGATCCTCCTGATTTCACCCCACCCTCTCACAGTAGCTAGGATTACAGCTGGTGCCAGTGAACGGAAGCTGGACCACCTGTCTAAGACTTCACTAACCCATCTGTGAAATGGATGTCACAAACCGCTCAGATGAGTAAGTGGAATTGTGGCTGTGTTCATGAGTGTGCAGTCTACATTCATGAGGGGATGGTGTTTGTCTGATCTGGGATGAACAGGCTGCCGGGTCTGCTGACAGTGAGCCCAGGCCTGTCTTCTCCCCAGCCTGGCTATTAGTGGAGTTGTCTGCCTTGAACTTGAGCATAACTGAGGCAGTCAGGTCTACAGATTGCTTCCACAATACAAATATAATTGGTTCCAGAAATACAAAGGTAGGGGGCTGGGAAGGTGGCTCAGTGGTAGAATGCTTGCCTTGCATGCACAAGGCCCTGGGTTTGGTTCCTCAGCACCACATAAGCAGAAAAAGCGCTGTGGCTCAAGTGGTAGAGTTCTAGCCTTGAACTGAAGAGCTGAGGCACAGTGCTCAGGCCCAGAGTTCAGGCCCCACGACCGACAAAAGAAAAGAAAAAGAAAAAGAAAAGGATAGAGGTAGAAAAGATAACTACAGTGATAGGAAATGGGTTTGATGTCTTTGGATCTCCTCTCTTGCCTGACCTCCCCACCTGAGCCAGAAAAAGTGCTTGGCAGAGAACCAGCCACTTTCCCCATCCTGGGTGTAGACTGATGTGTGGCCAAAGGGAGGGGGGGGGAAGGAGAGAGAGAGAGAGAGAGAGAGAGAGTGTGTGTGTGTTTTGTCGATTATACACCCGTTATGCCACACTGTGTGCAGAGAAGCAGAGTGGAGCCCTGCTGGAGGTCTGGGGACTTCCTTCCAGTCAGGCTGCCTTCCCCTCCTAAGCACTCCTTTTTTTTGGGGGGGGGGCGGTCGTGGGGTCTGAACTCTGGGCCTGGGTGCTGTCCCTTAGCTCTTCAGCTCAAGGCTAGCACTCTACCACTTGAGCCACAACGCCACTTCCAGCTTTTTTCTTTTTTCTTATGTGGTCCTGAGGAATCGAACCCAGGGCCTCAGGCATGCAAGGCAAGCACTCTACCACTGAGCCACCTTCCCAACCCCTCCTTTTTTTTTTTTGAGGGGGAATGAGGGAGAGGTACATTGCATCCCCCGAGAGTCTCTACTTTGGGCAAAGAAGAAGACAGAAAGGCTGAGTTGAATTTCAGTTGATGAATCGTTTTTTTTTTCTATAAAGGCATGACCACTTACCCCATTTTGTATTTTCGCTTTACTTTGTTTCTCAGATAGGGTCTTGTGCTTTTCCACAGGACTGGCCTCAGCCCCTGATCCTCCCTCATAGCTGGTATGCTGGAGAGCACTCAGGTTCCCATCAAGGGATGTGGAAATCCATCCCTGTGCCCATGAGTGCATGCTCCCAGCTGCGTTCAAGTCAGGAGTCATGGTCCCCCACAGATCAGCTCGGATGCAGGGGGCTCAGGCCTCAGCCCATCCCCCTCCAGGTACCTGCCAAGTCCTCTGGTTCCCGCTCATCTCCATTCTCTGGTGTCATTTGGCTCTTCTTGGCAAGAGTCGGGATAGGACCTGAACTTGAGCCAACGTCTCTGTATCCCCAACTGGAGCAGAATGTTGAGAAGGAAACCCTGGAGTCCTGAGCTCTCCTTTTGTCATCCAGGATTATGGAGGTCACGTGTTTTGCCACCCAGAGACCACCTGAGCCAGGGATATGGTGCCTTGTGGAGATGCACAAGCCCCACCCAGCCCTGCAGTGAGTCTCTTTAGCCCAACTGTGTAACCCTGGTGGCTCTCTCTTCCCACTGGGCTTAGTACACTCCTCTACCTACAAACAGAGACTGGGATGCAGGGTAGATGGTTCTACTGGAGGATACATACATTATTCCTGCCCTCTTCTTTGTCACAGTAGGGCCTTGACAGGTGGTATTCTGGAACATTTCAGAGCAATATCTCTAGAAGGCATGAGACACATAAGCAATTTGGGTCTGGGGTCAGCTACTTAAGAGCTATATTGAATGAGTAGTTTCATCTACCCATGCCTCAGTTTCCCTATTCATAGAGCAGGTGGGACACATGACAAATCACTCCACTGGGTACCCTCAGCACCAGGACTGCCACACGGAGAACACTCACAAAATCATACGTGTAATGGTGATAATCTTTTGTGTTTTTTTTTTTTTATTATGTCAAGCTATAAGCTGGAGTCAGATGTGACATCAGCTGCCAGGAAGGAATATCCCTTTAATTGCTTAAGACAGGAGACTTGAGCTAAAGAGAGGAGGTGAGCATGGGAGAGATGGAGGGGAGAAACAGGCCGCCCCAGGTTAGATAAGGCATCTCCTAATGTCTTTCCAAATCCTGCCTTCGATCTGGTCTCCGGGACAATCTCACCCCACCTGCCCGCTTCTGCTCTGTCCAAGGTGCTGAAATAGGCCCCAATTGCGGGCTCCTCTCTCATTTTCCTTCCAACTCTAGACATCGTAGTAGACATCAGGTAGACAATAAAAGTAAAAGAAAGTTGTTTTGTGTTTTCTGTGGGATTTTTCTTTCTTTCTTTCTCTCTGCAGTTGGTTCACTTTTATTTTGTGACTATAAGGAACTCTCCAACACAGGTTGCTCGCGGCTTGTTGAGAAGGAATTAATGAAGCAAACACGCATGCTTTAGGATATAGGCTAAAACTAAAGCAAGGAGCCCATTTTCCATTTCTGTGCCTTTAGTGACCACCACCACTGGTCTTTGTTCTTTCTGCTTCCTCTTCCCCAACTCCAATACCCTTCCGATCTGACCACCCCACATGAATCTCCCCAGGAGCAGCATGACCGTAGGCAAAACTAATGATGAACAAGGTAGGGTATACCAGAGAACAGGTACGTGGGGGGGGGGTGTCTCTGAGATGTAGGGGTGCCACCTAGATAGGGGTGAGTTCCTCATCGTACTTCTGCATGCCCTCATCTGGAAGCAGCACCTCAACTGTGAAGCTGACCTTCTTGGCATGGACGAAGCTGTAGGTGTTGTCAAAGCGCAGGACATCTGGGAGGCAGATGGAGAGATGGGGTGGCTGGCTGGCTTCACACTCTGCACTGCTCACCCCCCCCCGCCCCCGCCCCAGGCTGGGGGCAGTTCTTGGGCTTGGGTTCCCACAGCCTTTGTTTGCCAAACTGGTTCAGGTTCCCACCACACCCCTGTCCTTCCCCAAGGGAATGGTTACCCCCAGCTGAGCTCGTAAACAAACCCTGAGGTCCTCCTGCCCTGCCCAAGCAGGAACTTCCATGGCATCAACTGACCATAGAACAATAGGACTTAATCCCATTGTCTCCACACCTGGGCTCTCTCAGTTCAAGGAGGACAGATGGGGACCTAGGGGTGTCTCAGATCCTTTGGACCAAATGAGCGCTGGGGCTGCTAACCACCTCTGGCTTCTCAGCGCCATCCCAAAGAACAAGAGCCACAGATGGAGTATAAACCAAGGTTCATTTGGAACACAAGGCTTCATGCTTGTTTGTGAGGTGTTCTGCCACTTGAGCCACACTCCGATCTCTTTTTTACTTTAGTTGGTTTTGTTTGTTTTGGAGGGGGGATAGGGCTTGCAATTTTGCTCATTGCTGACCTTGGACCACAACTCTCCTAGAGAGAGAGCTGGGATGACAGGCATTATTCTCCCCCACCTGATTTATCTGTTGAGATGAGATCTAGCTGAGTTTTTGCATGGTGTGATATTGATCCAAAACCTTCCCAAGCTTCACCTCCCAAGTATCTGGGATTACAAGTGTGAGCTACACACACACACACACACACACACACACACACAAGTATCCCTCCTGAGATGGGTCAGAATTTTCCCCAGCATTATACAGCTATATGGAGAGGGTGATAAGACCCCAGCCTCACACTTAGTTTTGGGGTTCTGCTTAAATAGACTCATTTCTCGGGGTTCCAGTTTCCTGCTCTGTTGCTCCTTGCTTGTGACCTGTGGCCCCAGCTTCTCATCCCCTTTCAAGGTCCACGTATCTCTGGTTCATTGTGCAGAGTAGTTGTTAGTGAAAGTGACCTGAGTGTGAATAAATGTCTGGCACCAACTTGAGTTGCGTGTGCGCGCGCACATGCGCACACGGGTGATGCTTATTTCTTTCTCTAAACCATGACTCCTGGAGTACACCCAGCCCAGACAGACTTACAGACACCAGCCTCAGCACAGGTGAGGCTCCCATCCTCAGGCACCATGTGGGCATTGTAGCGCTGGCTGGCCAGCACCTCCGTCATCTCTGCAGCCTTCTGCCGCTCGCCCATCTTGGTCTTCAGGAAAACCCCGAAGCCGATGTCTGCCCCATCGGAGGCGAACTGCCACCTATGAAGGAACCATCAGGCTGCTGCCCAGCCCAGTGTGTTGGGCAAGCGCCAGGCAGGGGGTGGGAGGCAGCCCTGCCCACCTAAGGACACAGCCTGGAAACAGGATCTCATATTCCACCTGGTGCGAGGAGCCCCGGCTGATCTGCACCGAGTGCTCATATTGCGTCTTCACCTGGTCCCGCACGTACATGGACTTGGGGATCTCTCCACCATAGTTGATCTGTGGGTGTGAGATAGGGGTGGGGGCTGCCTCCCATCTCCAGGAAGATTGCAGCCCCACACTCTTGCCCCAAAGCCTTCCCTGACCCTCCAGGCTGGGTCAGGACTTAGATTCCCAGCCCATCCCTTTGGGACAAAATCCCCTATTTGTTTATTTATTTGTGTATTTATTTACTTCCCTCCCTCCCTTCCTTCTACCCTTTCTCTCTTTCTTCTTCCCTCCCTCCCTCCATCCCTCCTTTCCTTTCTTTTGTGTTGGTCCTGAGGCTTGAACACTGTCCCTGAGCTCTTCAGCTCAAGGCAAGCGCTCTACCACTTAAGCCACAGCGTCACTTCCGGTTTCCTGGCGGTCAATTGAGATAAGAGTCTCACGGACTTTCCTGCTGGGGCTGGCTTTAAATCATGATCCTCAGATCTCAGCCTCCTGAGTAGCTAGGATTACAGGCATGAGCCAGTACCCAGCTTGCTTCCAGCTTTTCAGGTAGTTAAATGAAGATAAAAGTCTCATGACTTTCCCACCCAGGCTGGCTTCAAACCACGATCCTCAGATCTCAGCCTCCTGAGTAGCTAGGATTACAGGCATGAGCCAGCCACACCCAGCCAAGTCCCCCATTTCTTATCTCTCTGCACAGTGGCTCAGAGCTGCCTACCACCACCATCAGGGCAGGGCCTGCACCAGCCAGCTTAATGCCTCACCTCCGCACATGGGGATCTATCTATAAGAGTGGAAGGAAGGAGTGTGTAGGAAAGACACCATTTGCACTCTCCAATCCTCCCCCATTGTAGGGCTCTTTGTACCTTGGTTAAACACTTGGGGTTCCCATCCGGGTCAGTCAGAGTTCCCCCAAAATGGGCAGGCAACTCCTCAGGACTGATGAGCTTCAGCAAGCCTTCTTTCCAGCATTCTGGAGCAGAGAGATCGGGAGGGTGGTCTCTAACATGGAAGGTACCAACTAGCCCCCCCACCCGTGCACCCACGGGGACGCCCTAAACTTGCTTTCCCAGCTCTGTGGGAGCTAGGCCACCAGGGCCAAGTTCCCAGCCTCACAGGCCTTCTCTGTGTGAAGTGTCATTCTAATCTTGGTGTTGCTATGGAAACATTTCCCCTTGGTGGATGGATTTCAATATTCTTTTTCTCTTTCTTTCTTGTTGTGTGCTGGTACTGGGGTTCGAACTCAGGGTGAATGCTATCCCTTAGCTTTTTCTACTCAAGGCTGGTGCTCTACTGCTTGAGCCACAGCTCCACTTCCAGGTTTTCTGTGGGGGGTTTTTGGTGGTTAATTGGAGATAAGAATCCCATAGACTCTCTGCTTGGGCTGGCTTTGAACTGCCATCCTCAAGATCTCAGCTTCTGGGGTAGCTAGGATTACAGGTGTAAACCCAGCATGTGCTCCATTCTGAGTGGAATGTTGACTCAACCTCACTCAAAACTGATACAGAGAACAGCACGGGAGCTACTCACTTCCCAGCACTACGATTTTCCTGCGCGTATCCTCACTCAGGAAGGGCTTCATGAGGTTGTAACCCACAGGAAACAGTTTGGTGGCTGGAGAGACATAAAGAAGGATAATGAGGCAAAAAGGAGTCTATTAAGCCACTCTTTCCATAATGGTCACCATCAATGATACAGAAGAGTCATGTTGAATCGTAGCCAGTTCCAGGGTCTTGCTCCTGGGAAACCACCTGGCCAACAAACTGCCAACCCAATCTTCCAATCCATGAGCTACCCATTCCCACAGCAAATGAGCCCAAAATACCCCACCTCCCAATAAGCAAGTCATTTAGTTAACAAATAAACTGCCCAACCTACCAACAGTGTGCCAATACACCTAATCCTCCATTATTATTCCAATCCTGCTAAACCACCATTGAACAAATCAATCAAATACAAACCACACAGCCAGCTACCCAGCCATCTGCTGTCTCTGACTAACCAAATCTTCTCACAACTAGCTAGCCAAAAAATCCATGTACCAAGTGAACCACCCAAACAACCAATCAACTGAAGTTTCAACCAGCCACTCCATCAATCAACCATGATAAAAACTGGTCACACACCCAACTGGCCATCCAGCTTTCTGACCAATCACCACTAGCCAGTCAACCATCCAATGTACAGCGGTCCTCCATCAGCCCACCTTCTCAAATAACAACCACCCAGCTATCTAGCGAATAGTCAACTCTTAGGCCAGGCCTGTAAAATAGAGTCTGCCTGTGGTTAGAAAAGTAAGAGAGCCAGGTACTAGTAGCTCACATCTGAAATCTTAACTACTCAGGAGGCTGGGATCTGAGGATCCAAGTTCAAAGCCAACCTAGACAGGAAAGTCCATGAGACTCTTATCTCCAATAAACTACTCAGAAAAAGCCAGAAGTGGTGCTGTGGCTCAAGTGATAGAGTGCTACCCTTGAGTACAAAGAGGTTCAGGGGTAGTGCCCAGGCCTTAAGACTGCCCAAGAAAGATAAAGAAAGAAAGAAAGAAGGAAAGAAGAAAGGAAAGAAAGAAGGAAGGAAGGAAGGAAGGAAGAGAGGGAGGGAGGGAGGGAGGGAGGGAGGAAGG